TCATCTGCTAAATCACAGCGCGGACGAAAGTGTGTCCTGAGTGATCGTGACAGATGATCATTAAGGGCAATTGTGACGAAAAATAAGAAGACCACAGCTTCAAAAATTACTGCTGAAATGAATGTTGTGTTACCGAACCCTGTGAGTACCAAAACAATTAGAAGGGAGCTTCATAAACAGGGAATTGCTGGCCGTGCTGCAATTGAGAAGCCACTCATCAGTGATGCTAATGCCCGTAACAGGAAAAGGTGGTGTTTAAGTCATAAAGCCTGGACTATAGAGCAGTGGAAGCGAGTAATATGGTCTGACGAGTCTTCTTTCACATTGTTTCCCTCTTCTGGCCGAGTTTACGTCTGGAGAACGCCATTTCAAGCCTATAATACAGACTGCTTGTTGCCAAGAGTGAAACATGGCGGGGGTTCTGTTATGGTTTGGGCAGCCATATCGTGGTTTTCTGCTAGCCCCATGATAACTGTGTCAGGGCACATGACTGGCAAGACTTATGTGAACATTTTGGCCGATCAAGTTCATCCCAATGGTACAAACTTTGTTCCCCGATGGTGATGGTGTCTTCCAAGACGACAAAGCCCCTGTTCACACAGCTCACATTGTCCAGGACTGGTTTTCTGAGCACGAGGATGAGTTGTCTCATCTCCCCTGGCCACCACAGTCACCAGACCTGAATATTATCGAACCTGTGTGGTCTACATTGGAACGGAAAGTGCGTTCTCGTTATCCACCGCCAACATCGTTATCTGAACTTGCAACCGTTTTGCAGGAAGAATGGTATAATATTCCCTTGGCAAACATACAGGAACTGTATTTATCCATTCCGAGAAGACTTCAAGCTGTTTTGGACGCCAACAGGTTTCTTACACCATATTAAGCAAAGAAACATGTTTTTTTAAAGGTGTTTCCATATTTTTGTCCAACCCCTGTATTTCCGTAGAACTAATTTTTAGCTGCATCAAGTACATCGTGAATTTCCAAATAGCGTACATGCAAATTTAATGCATCTTCAAATACGTTATCTTAACTGAAAATTATACAAAACAAAACACAAAAAAATTTATTAATCTTCTCTGTTCAACATTTCAAACAGAACTTGTCAAAGGAAAAGCGTTTTGAAGTTTTAAAACAATTTGATTAATGAGTTCTGAATACATGTTGGGGTCCTCTGAATCATTTGAGACTGAAAACCGCTACCAAACTTTCACTTCTAAACAAAATTTAAATGTTCAGATCTTTTCCCTACATGTATTCGTACCCAAATGAGACCAAAAATAATATACGAATGCCAAAATAACATAAAGAAAAACTTAAGAAAGCAAAAATATTATTTGGAAAATACCTGAAAAATCAAAAAAGCCTAAAAACCTAAAAAAAGCCAAACTAACTAATTACATAAACCTATTATATCAAGACGAATATCGGAATATCATACATCAAGAATTAAGGAAGCATAGCCAAAGACAAATGATTTTATGCTCGAAAGAGTGCTTTTGTAAAACATGCTTATTCGTATCTTACACTTCAAAAGTATATTACTTTATTTTATTCTTTATCTAATCCTTATTTTAATAGTTTCTAAGTTAAAAAAACTGACTAGTATTGCATTAGGATTCTTAATTACCATTTTATCAATTCTATTATTTTCGTTTTGTATAACATCCCTAACAGAAATGTGCCGAACTCCTCTATTAGTGTTTCTTTGGTAGAAATCTTCGTAAGATCTACTTATAGGCGACTCATTCTTGTATTTGGATTAATATACTAATATACAGATTAACACAGATCTCTAATATCCGGCTATTTGAAGTCCAGATAATTCAGTTTTCTTTATTCTGTAGACTAAATACACATACACTGTGATAAAAACAAAATTTTGTTTCTTTTATCAGACTTTATTTTGATTAGGATAAACTGTTTAAAAAAAAAAACAAACATCCAATTGTATTTCTTTAAAATAAAGTGCAGCCTTTTTCTGCAAAATTAAGTAATGAAATTAATTATTATTTTTTAAAGAGGCAAACCTATTATTATTTCAACTAAATTAAACAATGAAATCAATTTTTATTTATTTGAGTCATAAACCGAAAAAATATGAGTTATCTTATAAGTAGCATGTATTTGCTTTTATTGACGACTGTAGGATAGTTAATTGTCTAACACTATAAGCCAATCAAAATATCGCACTCGCTCATTTAAATTAACTTTACAGGTTACTTAAAAATATGAACCGTGCTGCATTATCATTTTATAATATTCAAAGCAACAGCAAGCTTAAGTGTACTAGGTTTTGAAAGAAAAAGGAGCGATTCGATTAAATGAAATCCTGGCTATATTTAATAAAAAGATAACTGACAAAAATCCCAATATACCTCTGAAATTATTGATCTGATTATAATTCTGAAAGTATTGGCCAGTCAGTAACCGTAATGCATAATTTATGTTCTATACTAGCGTTGCCAATAACAAATGAAAGGATAGTTTTATAAAACGTGTAAGAAATATTTTTACAATTAAATTCCGGGAAATCAAGTAACATGTTATTCCATACTAGCTCTGAAATTAAGAAATGAAATGGATGGATAGTTTTATAAAACGTGTAAGAAGAGAAATATTTTTACAATTAAACTCTGTGAAATGGTGTAATGTATCTTATGTAAATGTATATATACGTATATATATATGTATATGACCTTGTTCATGTATACTATTTACAATTTTACATAGTCATTTTTATATTATTAGCATATTTTTAATGTATATTATTTGTAGGTTTTTTAAACCTGTTACAATTTTATCTAGTCATTTTTTTTTCGCATTAGCATATTTCTAAAATTATTAGTAATTTTCATTTACCACGTTTATTTTACATTTGCCCTGTTTTTGCTAGTTTTGGTTGTGTAATTCATAATTTTTACTATTGATGAAGCGGCTTTGCCTGGGAATGACCTCTTGTTGAGCAAAAATGTTCTCATCTTTTCTTTTATACTTTATTTCTTTATCATTATTTTTTGGCTTGTTTTATAGATCTAATGGACCATGTGCTTCATAGCCAAATTTCTTAACTTTACCATTATTTTTGGCTTATTTTATGGATCTGATTAGCCCTGTGCTAAATAATTGAATTTCTTTACTTTATTATTTTTTGGCTTGTAGCATAGATCTAATTGACTATCTAATTAAAAGTTAATTTCTTTGTAGGGATTATTTTAATTTTCTGATTTCTTTTTTAATTTTGTAACCCTTTCCTTTAAATTTTTGTTTTCCACCTACAATTCCCTGCCACAATGAGATTTCAGCATCGCGTTTTATGTAAATGAAGTAGAACCAGTATTTAATGGGAAGTTCACTAACTTCTGAAAAAGAGTTCAGAAGTTCTCAGTAGAGCGTGTTCTGCCTTCGGGCCACGTCGTTGCTTTAAGCTTATCTTACTACGTTCGGCTGCAGTGTAACGTGACTATTCGTATTCGCCTGTGAGGTTTAATTAGCGGCATATTAGGTTAGTCATTTTTGTATAGCTTCGGCTAAAGTTTAGCTAGTTAGAATTGTTAATTCAGAAGTCAAACAACAAAAATCAGCGTTATGTTTACAAATTTTCACAGGACTAGTTTCGATGGTTTTTCCGAACCACCATCCTCAGCTGCAAAACCACAAATGAACAAGATAGGAAATAATGATTAGATAAGATAAGAAAGCCTGTACAAGTATAAGCAAGTGGCGCCATCTGTTTGTGAAACCAGAACTAAAATATAATTTCTTTAAAGGACTAAAACTAAAACATAACAGAACTAAAACATAATTTCCGATCCAAATTTGCCTTCGGCCTTTAAAGAAATTATGTTTTTGTTCTGGTTTTACCAACAAATGGCGCCACTTGCTTATTCTTGTACAGGCTTTTTTTATCTTATCTAATCATTATTTCCTATCTTGTTCATTTGTGGTTTTGCAGCTGAGGATGGTGGTTCGGTAAGACCATCGAAACTAGTCCTGTGAAATTTTTTTAAATATAACGCTGATTTTTGTTGTTTGACTTCTGAATTAGTATTTATTCGGCGTGTTATTGTGTCTTAATTAGTTAGAATTGGTTTAGTTCCTTATTTCCTATCTTAAGTCCCAAGTGGAGGCTTTCCTGTAAGCCCGACAGGGGCCTTCTGTATTTCTTTGAGTGCATAAAAGAGTATTTTAATTCTTCTTTGGACTTATATTTATAGTTGTAAGAAGACCAGCCAATAGTCGCTAGATCCTTCAATAGTAGTTCTAGTAGCTAAGGACACGTAAATAGAACTTCATAACTTTGTTATTTGGATCTAATTGACCAAATGTTCAATCATTGATTTCTTTACTAACAATTTTATTCAGTTTGACTTAAGATTCTTGCAAACAGAGGAGAAGAAACATACTAGTTTAAATTAAATAGTTATTGTTATCTGAACGGCAACAGGTTTTTTTTCCCTTGAAAAGTCAATCAGTTTTCGTTCAACGACAATAACTGAATTTGTCGCCTTTTGCAGTTTAATTTGATCTTAAAGTTTTTGACATGTTCTTTATTAATGAATTTAGAAATATTAAGAAAATTTTATTTCACTAACGTTTAAGATTAGAATTTTTCTTTCTTCTCCTTGGAGGTAATTTTATTATTTTTCTTATACATACATATCATACATATTTCTTATACATACATATGATGTCTCTATGAGGGGAAGAAAATGTTTGGAAAAAAAAAAAAAAACGGTTTTATCATAAATCTAAATTTATAGAATGCAATTTAAGTAAAAGTTTTATATAAAATAGCATTTTCAATACATTATCAATTAAGGTAAATGATGTATTATTTAATAAATTAGAGCAAAAATAAAGTATTTATATACATATACCCTATCAATAATTGAAATTTATAAAATGAATTTTACGGAATTTAATTGACAATGAAGATGTAATTTAAAATAGACTTCGTAAACATTAATTTTAGTAGATAATTCGTAGACTAATAATAAAACTCGTTTAACCGAAATGATGAAATGAAATAACATTAAGTCTGTGAAACCTCAAATCAATCATTTCCAACCAAAATTTATTTTTCTCGTTGTGGCATTACTTAGAAGGATATACATGCCTTATAATGTAATCTAGTTGGTGTAATATCGCTGATTTTGATAACACATAGAAGATTACTGAAACTGGAAATTTGTGGTCTTTTCTGGCATATTAGGAGATTTTTGTGTCAGTTTCCGATATTTTGTATACATTTATGTATTCAGAGTGAGTTCTATCAATTTCTTGCATGCACTGCATAAGCTTTATCTATGGGTTATTGGTTTAATATTTCAAAAATGAAAATTATAGTAAAAATAAAACATTACCAATTTATTTTGTAAACACAGAGATGAATGACACATTTTCTTTATGCAGTAAAGTTTGATCATGCGCCATTCGAAAAACAGCTCATTCAAAATAATTCCAACATCGATTTTTAATGTAATAGGTTACTACATATAAAACTTAAGTTTGGAATTCTAAAGAAGTTTTCACGAATGATGATTTTTTACCGCTATTTTCAAAATTTTCCAATAAAATACATATATAGAGTTATGTTACAAACATACCTTTAGACGAATTTCTTTTGAATTGATTACGTTCATTTTCAAATTTGTTACAAACATACCTTTAGACGAATTTGTTTTGAACTGATTACGTTCATTTTGAATTTATACAAATATTTAAATACTATTTACCTTATATTATTTAACAGATTATTAATTAATCCAGAAACATTCCTCTAACTTACAAAAACGTAGTTTGGGACTTGTGTAGTTAACAATAGAATTTGCTAAATTATATTTTATTGCCATAATTTTGTTTTTAAATTTCTAAGTGGTTTTGAATAAAACTTTTTCTTTCTTCCTTTAACTGTTTAACGATGCTGATTTCTGAATTCATTATTTTCAGTATGGGATATCTTCATAAAGTGAAAAGTAGAACTACAAGCTCTGTTTTCTCTTATTAAACACAAAATACAGAGATTATAAGAAAACTGCATTTAACACCATTCGCAGAACTCATTAGAGAGCTTTTTTAAAAAATAGCTATGCTTTCAAAAGCGGAACATTCTATTTAGCAATTACGTATACTCATAGACATACAAATAAACGATCTTCAGAAAAAATACTCTCACACTAAGTACAAAATAATTTCGTACTTTGCTGTAAAACGTAAAATTTACGCAAAAGAAAGTGCTATTCTTAAGTTAACCATTATTTTATAATAACTTCACTATATCAAACATTCCTTTGCTAGGAAAAAAGTGCAAAAAATCATTGGGCTTGTACTGCGGAAGAGCTGTTTGTCCCAATAAATCGACACCTTTCATTTTTCCTTGTTCACTGCAAAGACAGTGCTTCTTCTTTCTATATATTTCTGCTTATAAAAATTAGTTGCTTAGTATGAAACACTTGAAGACGAACTGTCATAGCAGAAAATATATTCTTCCTGAAAAAATTCTGTACATTCTCTTTGCCCTTACAAAACTCGAGCTTTCATGGCATATATTCAGGAAGGTCATTATGATCAGTCAACAACCGTTAAAGCAGTGTAAAAGAAGCTCTAAGCGAAAGCAGTCTGAGAAATATTTATTAACATAATGTTGTGATTTCAGTTTAGAATGTCCTTTAAATAAAGTATTAATTATCGAACTTGTAAAAATAAGGATAGGATTCTTTGTAATGTTCAAGTCGTTAAAATAAATATTTAGATGCATATTTTCTTACATAAAAAGAAAAAATATAACTTTACGTCCAAAACGAAAATTAAATTGTAGATTTAAAAAAAATGTGTGAGGTTAATTCATTTTACTATTCAAAGCTGCAAATTATTTCTTATGCGCATAAAAATCACGATAGAAATTCTTGTGAAGTATTCTGTAATGGACCTCCTTATCGGAATGAAATATATGAACTATCTAAAATTCCACATCAGATATCACAAATAACTATTTATTACTTCTAAAGACTGTCAGACTGTTAAGACTTCAGAATTTCTATCTTTCAACTAACTAGCTTATGCGTACTACTTGTTACATAAAGCAATATGGTGATGAAATGTTGAAAGACGGGCACTGCAGTTTAGTGCAGTGCCCGTCTTTCTGCACTAAACTCATATATTTTTCGTGATCATATATTTTTCGTGATATATACTTTAGTGCTCATATATTTTTCGTGATGCTGAATATTTATCTTTGATGATACTGTACAACTAATTTCAATGATACTGCAGTATAATCTTCAGTGATGTGTACACAGTTCTCTGCAGCTCAGTATTAGAGAAGTATGAAAACTTAACGGATCGAGGGTGAGAAGAATTCTTATCCTTTGTTGGAAGAGTGAAGAATGTGCTAAAACCATTAACTGAAAGCAACTTCTAAATGTCATCTTCACCAAGCTTCTTACTGACAATAGCAAGTGGACCTACGGACCCTGGTTTAAAAGTGCTTTCTTCGACGGCTCTCAGTGAAGGAAGCACTATAGTGTCACCTTGTCGTCCCTTGTCTCTTTGGGCGGACTCGTGTAGTTGTTTTTGCATCACTGCCAAAGTAAATTTGTTGGATTTGATTCCCGTAATTACCATTTCACCCGAATTCCTGCAATCACCTTCGCTGTCGTAGTTAGAATCCACATCACTTGAATCACCAACTTTGTTCATATCACCTCGAGCCTAAAAAAGAAAAAAAAATATTATCAGAAAACGTTATAAACTATTCAAAATATTATAGTATTACAAATAATGCTTACAGTTCTTTTTTTTTCTCATCGAAGGTTGTTTGTATACTTTTTTTACTGGCAGGAATTATTTTTATTAAAATGGTCTGCCAAGTTAAGTTATAAAAGTTAGTGAGTTTTAGTTATAAGTTATTGTTTGTGATTTATTAGTGAATATATTATTATATATTATTAATTATATATTTATTAATATGAATTATTATATATTATATATTAATATATTATTTATTGTTAGCAATTTATAAGTGAAAATATTTTTTTTTTCCAATGGCAGATTTTGAACAACTACAAATGTAACCCAGTCCATTAATCTATACAAGGCCAGATGCGGTGGTCTCTTTATTGTGGTTATTATGGAGACACCTAATAGGTGGGACACCATCGCCTTTTCTATGAAGGGACGGGCAGTTACAACCATGCCTTCTCCGAGATTCGAAACCAGGCCCTTCGGCATCGCAGTCAGCTTCCCTGACCATTACACCGACTGGGCGGCATAAGTGAAAACATTGTTAGAAATTTATTACTGAATATATTAGTAGTGGCCTTATTATTTTTAATTAGTGAGTTTTAGTCATTAGAGAATTCATAAAGCGGCGTTGTAGGGCAGAGTGTTTTGCTGTGAACATGGATTCCTAAAATCACTCTAAAAAAATATTTTTTGTAAAGCAAATCAAAGCAGTGTTTTAAATACAAATATAAAATAAAAGGTGAGTTAATAATAATTTTTTATAAATAATTTCAATAAAATCCATTTCACTTCTCGGAAGCAACGAATTTCCAAATGCCAGTTTTTAAGCATAAAATGAAAATATAAATAATAAACATAGCTTAAAGAAATATAGTTACATATATGTATATTTTATGGGATGGAACTGATACAAAGACAAATGATAAATATTACTGTCAATGTATGCACATCAGGTTATGGCAAGCTTCAAGAGCACTATGAAGAAAAAGGAGGGGAGAAGAAAGAAGTATTAAAAAAAAAAAAAAAAAAAAAAAAAAAAAAAAAAAAAAAAAACATGAATTACAGTATAGCATTCATAAAGAAGTTCTAAAAATTATACTTTAATTTTTTTCTTTAGTCAATCAGCATAACGACGGGAAGTATCTTTCTATACAGTTTTAGATAAGTTCCATGTGTATTCCTTTCCATTTTGCTCTGAAGATACAGACACTTTTATAATAAGGAAATATGCTTTTTAATAAAAACTGAAATAATAAACCCCAACGGTGTTGTTTTCTAATTCTATAGATAAAAGTACTGCTGCATACTATATATCACAAGCAGTTTTTCTGTACTTCAGAATTCCGATAAGTTATTGTTTACTTTGGGAATGAGTTTTGGAATCATTTTTATCTCGATAAATCTTGAAATTTATACATTGCCCGATTTGTAAGGAAACTTACTGTTATAACATGAAATTATTTACTGCATTCATGTGAAGTATTTGTTAAATAAATTCACCAGGAGTTTTCAAACAAGGAGCCAAGCATCTTTTTACGGAAAATATCTAATGATAAATGTAGAAAGTTCTCAAATGTCTTTTTTTTTTTAACAAACTTCCGCTTGGATTTCCTTATTTATCAGAATTAATATTTTTGTATTCCAAGTACAATAGATAAAATATCTATACTATATCATGGAATTCTAAACTCAACACGTAAGATTTTAAACTATACTCCCTTACCATTGCATTAGTATATTTATAATAACAGGTATTCAGTCAAAATTTATAATAACAGGTATTCAGTCTGAGCATTTAATAGAACGTATGCCCACATTTGCCAAAATATTTTGACAATTTTCTGAAATACTAAAGCTGCAACACCATGTCTTTCCTCCTCTGAAGAATTTGAGAGCTCAGGCACAGGACTTTCAAACTGGACAGACTCATAATGGCCTTTTTAATTCATATCACAGGTTTTCAACTGGATAGAATTTAAAATTCTGCAAAGATCATTCAGAGTCTTCCACAACTGCCTCATAGAGATTTATATATATAGCATATATAAATCTTTACTTATAAATAAGCTCTATAAATCAAAGATTTTAATCTTGTTGATGTAATATAGAATTGTGCGAATTACTTTTATGGTGTATAAAGTAAAAAAGTATCGAGAATGTCAAAGTAAAGTTGAAAGGTTCAAGATTTTCTTAACAGGAATCAAACTACTCTTAGTTCACAGCCGACACATTTGTTACAGCTAAATGCTATCATCCAAATAGTGTAAAAAGATTCTTCGCTGCATAGACTATAATCTCTGTTTCTCCACATATGGATAAATAAATCTTTGCTGAGTAAATATTTTATTTTTCAGTAATTATTATTATTCTCGTAATTATTTTATTTTTCAGGTAGCGTTTTATTTGTGACAACCCACAGATCTTTGTCGCCTCTAAAGTCTTGGCACTGACAATGCATCCTGACGCATATCAGAATTCATTCCTGATTCTAGCAGCGAAAGGAAGCCGATTTGTTTCGAATAATCTGCAAACTTGGTGATATATGTTAAGAATTTTATCAAAACTGTCCCTTGAATGTCTCAAAAATCTCATTTACTATGTTAATTTCGAGTGGACGCAAGTAGTTTTAACAAAATTGAAATCTCGCTAATTGACTTCTTTCCCAAATAGTATTCGATGCCAATGTCATGTAACAATTAGTAAGATTTACTGCAATAAATGCTTTTTGCAGCAAATGATCTTGATCTATATGTAATTAATTCTGCTATTTAAAGCTCAATTCACTCTGGTGCAGGAGTCACTGCCCAATCATCTGTTTCTGGTGGGTTCCATTTTGTTTGGGAAGATTTTAGGAACAGAGCACTGGGCTATATTCCCTTTTATATGACCCAAATAAAGAACATTGCAAGTGGTTTGTTTTAAGCAATTAAATGACATTCATTTGAAACAAAGGTTCCTTTTCAGGCACATCCCTTAAAAGCAGTACTGAATGTTATTTATAGCGCACTTGAAGGAAGAAACTAATATTCATCCCGAAATTAAATATTGATATTATAAGGTTTTTCTCCCGCCTTCTTCGCGTGCCTTCGTGCTGTGGTGGTCTGCACGCTGAACGCGTATTCCAGAGGTCGGTGGTTCGATTCCCGGCGGAGGCGTTGTTCCTTTTTCATCTCTCCGACTTCGAAATAATCTAATGTCTCTACAATGGCGCCCGAACTAAAAGGGTGGTGGGTGGATGATGATTCTTCACACCCAGGATTTGGCGATTGGGTCCCTTAAAAACCCCAGTCGCCCTTTAAAAGGGGGAGTATATAAGGTATTTCTCCCGACTTCTTGGCGTGCCTTCGTGCCGTCGTGGTCTGTACTCTGGGCGCGTATTCTACAGGTCCGTGGTTTGATTCCCGGCGAAAGCGTTGCTCATTTTCACATCTCCTACAGCCCCAAAAAATACCTAATGTCTCTACAATACAAGCTTACTATAGAAGGAAAGAAGACTGCCAAATGTAAAGAAAGATTTGTTTTGAAGTGAAACATTGCAAGTGACGATGATAGCTCTTTAATGTCCTTAAGAGAAAATAAAATTAAACACATTAAACTTGATGAAAACTCAATAGCATCAGCTGAAAGGACAGTATATTTTGAGCGAAAACAGATGCTTCAACAGCACGTTCGGTAAGGTAATGTGCATGGTAAACAACATGCTTAAATATAAATGAACATTTTAGCAATTTCTTACAAATAAGAAGCTAGTAATTTTAACATTCTGTGAAGAAATGACCATTGTGATATTCTGTCGAGATTTTATTCTAGGTCACTTGCATTCCTGGACTTAAACCGTTTAAATAATACTTTTCATAAATATTCTATTTATGATAATCATTATGAATATGGATCCTATTGTTCTAAAATTAATCCTGTTGTTAAAAAATCTGATGTGTACTTCCTTGACGGAATATTAAATTAAACGCATTTTTTTCCATTTAATTTAAACGTATTGGTTTGAATTAAATCTACTTCGTCGATAGCGCATAAACCACAATAGAATAAATGCACTCTTTAAAATTCACTCTATTTGTTTACCACAGCGACACTCTTGCACTAGCGTCACTTAATAGCGTTACATTTCGTTCATATTATAAATCAGAATGCATATAAATTTATATCCTTTGAAGAATTATCTAATCGTTGCCACATGTTCTATTCAAATACTATAATAAATCCAAAATCATGTATAAAAAATTAAACAAACAGACAAACAAACAAGGAAAAAAAATTTTTTTTACAGGCAATTCAGTATTTCTCATTTAATTAATTCAGTTACCACTTTGCGACAAGGCAAAAATACATAAAAACTCAAAATATCTATACTAAGAATTACGAAGTAAATCTTAAATTCTTATTTCCTCGAATAAATTCCCGAATGAATTAAGCATGATTTAATTTGCAATAATAAAAGAAGGCATTATCTTTGTTGTTGCGAAGCTTAGTTTCTCTAGATTGGCAACAAATCCACTACTCTGCTGTTTCAAATGTAAACAAACAATGGCCGATATGGTAAAAATAATTAGGCTTAGCAGCACTTAAATATCTTTTAAATTGTTTAAAATTCTACAAATATTGCACGCAGATTTACTAAAGGGCATAAAAACCTTAACCGGAAAATAAGAACAACATAATTCAATCATTTTTAAGACAAAAAAATGCACATCTTACAAACATATAGATAATTGAGTTGGATTTCAAATATTACTCACAAACAATGTTTACATTGTATTTAAATAGAATCGAACCATTGCGTTGTAATTAAATTGCTTCGAGAATCCAGAAACGCTCGACTGACACTTTATATGCATGCGTATTAATATGTTTTACATTTTTTAATATTATTTCATCAGTACTATATCATTCTGATGTGGATGCAGAAAATATCTGATGTGGACACCACATGACTTCCTTGTGCTGCATATTAAATTACACCCATTTTTTTGGCTGAATTTCGTTTAAACTTATTTCCTCGAATTTCATTAGAGATATATTTCACGTTCAATTAATTCAGTTCTCACTTCGTGGCAAGACAAAAATACATAAAAACTCAAAATACTTTCATAAAAATTGTAAAATGCAGAAAACTATAAACACCATATACAGTTAAAAAAAATTAAAATTGAAATGAGAGTCTCTAAGCAAAAACAAGTACTTTTTCCAATGGCATGAAGACAGAGTTTTCGGTGCACGAAACTGAAAATTAACTTTTGGTCACACTGTGGAAAAAGACGCTAAATTGGTGCATAACTGAATTAATTCACTAATCTACTAAGACTTTCAAATACAAGCAAATGCCACGTTAGGCATGGCCATTTAAACTTTTAAATTGTTGACAATTCTACCTATTGCATGCAGATTCACTAAAGCCATAAAAACCAGAACATAAGAGCAACATATTTCAACCACTTTTAGAGCAAAAAATGAGAAATTTAACTCCACCGAAGAATAAAAAAATTAAGCACACCGAGATGGGCAATAGAGGGGAATATATGTTACAGTGAAACACCGAAATCTGGAGAATGTCGACTTTCACCGGTGAATGTCAACATCCACATAGTCGCTTGGTGTATGTCCGAAATATTTTCCAAATACTCTTATTTCTGACTTACACCGGTGAATGTCGACATTCACCATGTACTAATGGTGAATGTTGAACATAAAAGAATATTATATTTCCTTCTCCGTAATTCATTCGCGAAAAAACGCACTTGAGACTCAGAATAAGAACTTAAGACCATAAGAACTTAAAACACACAGTACATTCAAAATGAGAAAGGAAATTAATAGAAGTTAAAAACTTACTTAATTATGTGATTCAAATCTTATTTACTGCAACAACTTAAATTATTAGGACACTTTGAATTGCACAAGAGGTCCTTGCTTTTACAACTGCATTTATTTGTGGAACACTTCCTTTTGGAATGGCAGCGGGTACATATATTCCTCTCTTTTCGACCTACACCAGAGCATATCTGTGATTGTCGACATACACCGGTGAGGGTCCGAATGTACAAGAATGTAATGCAATATTCGATCTTGCACCAACGCATTTGGTGAATGTTGACATTCTCCAGTGAAAGTCGACATTCTCCAATTTCGGTTTTTCACGGTAACATATATACACCTTTGGTGTGGCCGATTTCAACTAAAACGGGAGGCGCATAACTACATGTTATAACAGTTCCATATACAAAATTTTTAACGTTCTGAAGCTAACCCTTTTGGAGTTATGCGAGATATCTACGTACAGATGTCACGAAAATAATCTGAATCCCTTTTAAATCTCTTTTACAATACGTTTTGGAGAAAAGAGTCCTTCATTCTGTCCATACGTACCGGTGTCACGCAAAAACATCGTTCAAATGTATTCGAGAGCGGTCAAAATGGATATTTTCGTTGAAATAAGATACCTCAATTTCTTTGCGATTACAGCACTTTTTACTTCTTACAAGGAAATAAAAAGCTGTTGTTCAATGTACCACAGCTTGTTTTGTTCATAGGCTTATGGTAACTGCAAGTAAAACAACTTAAAGATTGTTAAGCAGTTTTTAAGCTACAATTAGTATTGCATTAGAGCAGCGGTTTTCAACCTTTTGACTAAAAGCTTACCATCTAAACAAAAATTGAAAACCTTTAGTACCACCACTACAAAGTACTACTACCACCACCACTCTTGAACAAAGCTCAGATTGCTTAAATTTACGAGTGTTAGAGAAAAAAAACTCATTCAGGATGTTGGGGTTTTAATTTTTGGAATTTAATAGTTAAAAATACTTTGCTTCTTTTGCTTACCACTTATTTTTTTGATGCGTACCACCGGTTGAGAACCCCTGCATTAGAATTCAGTAATATAAAAATTATATAAATTGTATGGATAAACAAGAACACATTATATGTAAAACACATATATGATTTGACACATATAAAATTTTGAATAGTTATTTATGCATAAATAATAAATAGTTATTTATGCATAAATAACTATTCAAAATTTTATGCACAAATAACTATTCAAATATGAAAATATGTGGTTTTTAAATAACACGCTGAGTTGGATAACTGTATGCATATATTTCGGTGACGGGAAAAATGCCCACAGGAAAAATGCTCACAGGTATAAAAGCTCACATGGAAAAATGCTCACTTAGAAATATGTTCATACGGAAAAAGGCTCACATGAAATATGTTCACATGAGCAAATACTCACATTAACCTTTTCAGGGGCAGTAAATAAAAGCCTGAAAACTGTAGTAAAATTTTGCATGTACTGTAATATTTTATACCAGTGCCCCTGTACGACATTTTTTTCCTGCAACTGCCACTAATTAATTTTTGTTTCTTTACTCTTTTTTTGCTTACTTTTGATGTGTATCAATAGAAACTAATGTTTGAATGTAGTTATTCAAGTTTCAAGCCAAGAAAAGTTGTAAAATTTCTGCAGAAATTTAAAATTTTAGAAATAAAGTTAATATTTTTAGGCACTTTGAAGATGCCTCTCAGTTGAACATTATGAAGCAGCCTTCGCAGAATTTCCTAAAACCACAAATCGTTGCGAAGGCTCTCCTAACGCACTAAATTCATTATTTAATTGTAGCCATCCCAGTATGTGGTTTTTATTTGCCGGGCTGAAAAAAGGTTTAGCCTCTCAACGTTTGTCATTAGCTAATGTAAATACAGGATGTACTGAAGTAAAAAAAAGAAAACGCGAAACCTTACATTTGGTAATCGTGAATCATGTAAGAAATTATGATGAAATAGATGATAAAATTAAATATTTTACGTAATTTAAATAAAATAACCATTCTAAATTTTAATTCATTATTCATTATTCTTGTAAATGTTTATATTATAAAATGTATGGATTGTTTATATTATAAAATGTATGTTTATTTTTTTAACAATGAAAATTGTAATAATTTTTTACTATAATTCTGTTTCAGTTTTACTTCCTTTCTCCTCTCCTTTTCTTAGTTAAAAACGGTTCATTTGTTAATCTTATACAGCAACTGAATCTACACATAAGATATAAAGATTTTGAAATATGGTAATTTAAATAATTTTTCTTTAGAAAATTCAAGTAGGTGTACGATGTTCAAATCGATTCATTATTGATTCATTAATGCAAGGATATTTCTATGTGAATTATTTATCAGTGGGCTTATTTCCATGTGAGCTTTTTTCTATGTGGGCATATTTCTGTGTGAGCATTTTTCCTGTGAACATTTATATCTGTGAACATTATTTCTGTGGGTTTTTTTTTCCTGTGGAAGTTTTTCCTAGAACCATATACTATTTCATATATAAAACACAGGAGGTATTTCTTATGCACCTACAAATCTACCCGTAATAAAATATTTGCCTTTTTTTTCTTTTTTTACCTGTTTTTTGAAATGGAAAGGAGTAATGGCATTCCGTCGGCCCCTCGCTAACAGCTGGGCCTTGGCGGGAGGTTTCCTGGGCACGCAGTTGACGTCGAGCTTCTTCATGACCCAGTTGAGGATCTGCTTGATCACTATGGACGTCACATTGAATAGGCTGTAAATACAGCAACAGCCGCACACGATGAACACGAAATTGGCTAGGCGATATAGCGACACGTGGGGGTACTGCGCTTCCTGAGAAGTGACATAATCCCCGAAACCAATAGTGGAGAACGTAACGAAACAGAAGTAGAGGCAGTCGAAGTAAGACCATCCCTCCATAGGACCATAGAGAAAGGAGGCAGTGACGGCGATGCTTATTGTGGCGATGAACAGAGATAACATTACCCAATATACCTTAGGGGGAAAAAAAAAAGAACAAATTATTCTAATGCTAAACATTTGACAAACATAGAGTGCGGCAGGAAAACTACCTAATTTTAAAAATGTATAAACACAAACAGTATAAGCGATATCAGTTTAATTTTTTCCAAGTTATAGACAGACACTGAAATTTTTTTTTTTTTTTTTTTTTTTTTTTTTACTGCGGTTTAAAAATAATATCATTTAGGTGGCCTCCGTCGTTCTGGTCAATGCATTCAGATAGTCGAGTTTTGAAGTTTCTTTTCATTTTTACCAGCATATCAACGGGTATGTTGTCGACAGCAGCTTGAATATTGTTAGATCAACACCTATTAGGTAGCAGCCTATTAGGTGCCTATTGCACCAGGGCAATTTTTGTTAATATATGCTCTACAGTGTAGAATTTGTGCGTGTGACGAAAAAAATCAGTAAAAAAGTTTTAAATATCAGTGCAAAATGTTCATGTATACACAACAGCTGTAAAATACATGTTTTCATATAAATGCATCCTCAGCTATACGCACACATGAAATACACCTGAGTAATTTACGTTTAAATGTACGCATCAGCGTAGAATTTGTATATATATAACAGAGTCAAACCAATATAAAATGTTTAAATATCAGTGTAAAATGTTTATGTATAGGCTACTGTGTACGTATTAGTGTATCCTCAGTGTCTAAACCTATGTGCACAAAAATGCACCAGGGCAATTTTTGTTTATACATGCGAATCAGGTAGAATTTATGTGCACCGTAGCTTAAAATAAATATAAGTTATTTAAATATCAGTGCAAGATATCTGTGTAAATGCTTACGCATACACAACAATGTGATCAACAGTGTCAAACTTTTACGTATAAGTGTATTTTCAGTGTCTAAACCTAAGGGCTGATAAAATGAACGAGGGTAGTACATGTGTAAGTACACCCACCAGTGTAAAATTGTTGTATGTATCATAGTAAGTTTAGCATAAAACATTTAATTGTCACTGGAAAAATTTGTGCAATATGATTATGAATATGCAGCGACGTATGCACTAATGTAAAACATGTTGTTGTTGTTGTCGGGAGCGTATTTCATGGCAGATTGGTTACCAGAGCCTCAAGGAGGTTGGACTTCTACTTCCACCTCAAATTTTGAATGAGAGCATGCCGGGGAGGGTTCAAGGCTCTCCTCCTCTCTCCCCTACCATCAAATCATACACGAGGACTTTCGACTCGCCATATATTTAGAGAGCCAATGCCGCAAAGACACTATACCTTTAGAAACAACCATGCCTTCTCCGGGATTCGTACCACCACCCTTGGGTCCCACAGTAGGCTCCCCTAACCACTATACCGTCTGGGAGGCTAGTGTAAAACAGATGTTTTCTCTAAATGTCTAAAGCTATGTACATACAAACGCATGAAGGCAATTTATGTTTATAAATGCGCAACAGTGAAACATTTATGTCTCAGAGTAAAATCAGTATGAAATATCTATATATCAGAGTAAAATGTTTATATATCAGTGTTTTAGTATGTTTATATATCAGAGTGAAATGTTTATATATCAGTTATCAGAGTAAAATGTTATTTTCAAATATTACTGTACAGTCTCAGTATAGCAGCATTATCAGTGTAAAAACATTACCCGTGTACAATATCAGTGAAATAATACCTTCTATGAAACTATTATGCATACACATATGTATTGTCCCTGTATGGCTGTGTGCAGTCAAAAGTTCCTTTTAAACTCCAGAATCCCCGCTCCTGGTATGGTAGGGAGTTTTTGGGTTGCACAGTTACGGATTCCGGACAATAACCGAATAGTCCTTGTAAACCTCCCGAATGTCCAGACCGCTCTCACCTGTCACCTGTTAACACGTCTAATCGTAGTAAGTTATAAAATGAGATGTTCTCCATTTTCCAAGTTGCTATTTAAGATTTCCTCCTCATTATTAATCTACCGTTATGTGACAGAAACTTGCCTCGCAATGTGCAAGATGCAAATTGGACTGGCAGCATAGAAAAGTAAACGAAAGTATTTCACCTGGATACATTATTTCTTGGAAAAGATGGCAACATACGTTTCTAGAAAGAAAAGCGGAGGAGAAGCGCCGATGCTTTGAGACGCACTTTGAAATTGTGTTTCGGAGATAAAAATGTTCATTAAAGATAACCAGAGGTTAAAACTCATAAAGCAAACAATGCATAAGGACAACAAAAGACGGTGAGCTTTTAGCAAGAGCTCGGTACAAACATATCGAAAATTTGGCAGAGCTTGCAGTTCCAGTTTCTACTTTTCGATGCCAAACATGTAATACATTCTCAACATTTTTAGGCATGCATGTATAGGTACTGTGCCGAAATAAATTCAAACAAATCTATGAATAGTTTCTGTTTATGAGCTACAATGGAAGACATCATGCCTCATAACATGCTAACTTTATCTGAAGCGTTTGGATGAGACAGTTTCTTTAGGATTAAAAGCCACGTGGATTAAAAGACTCGGAAATAAGCTAGTAAAACATAAAAAAGAAAGTGAGGTATCAAACAAGAGCTGAGTTTTCAGAAAAGAATGCGAAAAGTATTCGAAAAACTGACATAATAGAAACCTATATCAAATATGACATAATAGAAATGAAAAATTATCTCTAGAGAATACAGAAACATGATATAGATAGTCCTAAAGTAAAGTGTATAAACTGCTAAAGATAAGGTTAGATGAATAATTTTTAGAGTATTTATTTATCCAAGAAAAGCAGTGAAGTTTGGGAGGAGTGTTCTGAATGCAAACCGTGCCATGGCTGCTTACCTTTTCAAGACAATTTTCCCATAGATATTTTACAGACTCTTAGAAGAGTTGCAGAAGTTTACTATTAACTGCTTACTTATGACATATCTGGAATCAAAGTTACACAAGTAATACAAATAAAATGTATCAGAATCTGCATACTTACTGAAGGTTTCCAATCGTACGTGTCATCAAATGAAAGCTGAGAATCTCTGCGTCTATCAAGGCCTCTTTTCCGGAGTTCTCTTTCATGTAGAAGCCTGAGGATATATGCGAGGAAAGTGATTATCCTTTCCAGGAAGAGATTGAAGAAAAGGATGGCCCCAGAACATCCGAGGAACCCGTAGAAGATCACAACGATTCGACCAGCTAATGTCTTCGGTGTCGTCATTCCAAAACCTGTGAGAAAAGAAAAAAAAAAAAAAAAAAAAGAGTGAAATTCACCTAACACGGTTTGAAACACAGTCTCTTCACTTCACTTCACTTAAAAACTGAGTTATACAGCGGCGAAAATAATATTTAATTTAAATACCAGTCATCATTAAAGCGTTTAACTATATTTCATACAATTAAACGATGGAAACTGTTTGGAAATGGCCCACGTTCTAAGGTAAAGCCAAGGTGTCGCAAATTTATTCTACGAAAACTTAAACAAGATGCGAAAATTAATACGGTAAAACATTCAAGAGATTTAGAAGAATAATTTGCATTAAAAATGAACACTGCAGCTTTTAGAAAAGTCGTTTAGGACGATCGGCAAGAAGGAAATTCGAAGTCAATAAGAAAACAGGGAAAATATGCTTGGCGTTCGCAATATATTTGGGTCCAACACACGAAGTAATATGCGGCAAAATCAAAATTAAGAATTGAATTCGAAAGTACATTGCCTAATGTTGCACACGACGGTACAGACTTAATAGTTTGGGGACGTTTAGCTGCCTTTAAAATACGAAATTTAGTGTTTATCGAAAATAATATAGCTTAAAAATATAAGTATAACTATAAGTATATAAGTATAATCAATCTAAGTATTCTTGATGGAAACCTAAAAGCCTCTGCAAGAAAACCTGGAATGGAAAACACATGCAAGTTCTATTAAGTATCCTAAACATACAGCCCTAAATGTTCAGCTGTATCTTTTGAATCTTTGCCAACGCCCGTGTAAAGCTTAGTTTTAGCTAAAGAATATTCAACGAAATGTTATTTTCATGTTTTTATTAAATGTAAACTGTATATGCAAAGTGGCTGGATACTTACGTGAGTTCATTTTCAGAATGTTTTGAATAAACTATTATTTTTATCAGAATCATTTATAATAAATTTTTTCAAAACAAGCGGGTTCAAAAAAGGATAACCAATGGTATATGTGAAAGAAAAATAAAATGACTGTACTAGCATTTAGTAATTGATATTTGCAAATAAAACTGAAAAACATAAGTGTCCGAAAACAAATGTAGTCACTGTAGGAAATCTCTTTACTGATCATGATTGTTGCCTTCCAAGTAAATAATAATCTGCTTGCAACAATCAACTATATCTTTATAAGATATTATATTTATAGATAGGATTTGATATCATACATTTTAAAGTTTCAGTCTAATTTCACTTAATTGTATAATGAAAATAATCATTTTCAAAATGTGTTTCGAATTCTTTAAAATAGCAATTCGTTGAAATTTAAATCATTTAATCTTTTGAATTTCACTTGGTGACAACTGCGGTGAACTTAATTAAATTTTGACATCATATCAATGTATCATATCATTTACATTACGCAACGGTAAATTGTCGAACATCCAACCAACGATTTTATCCATTAATGAGGAAAGAATCAAGGGTAAAATGAGACAGTATCCAACAGTTCTAAGCATTCGGGACTCATTAGGCATCTGATTTTAATGAAGAATTAATTTCTTTGATTCATATTTACTTCTTTATTCTTTTATTAGTTAGAAAGTTGGTCGAAAATTTACTCACATTACAAAATACGCAGATATATAAACCATAAAACAATAAAAATTTGTAGTTTAAATGCCTAAAGTTCAAATGGTTAGAATACTTAATATGACGAAGAGTCTTGGGTTTACAAAATCTTCTCCTTTCATCGTAAAGAATGGCGTGTCAGATGCCAAACATGAGACGTCTGTAGAATTTATGGCGATTACAAATGCCATAATTTACCCTTACAAAAAGAATGCTCGTTTATTTCGAAGAGACGGAGTTTAGATAAGAATTCAGTTTTCCAGACTTCTTCGGCAAAACGTCTGGAAGAAAAAGAATGAAATCAAATAAAAAGTGGCTGAATCGTTAATTAAAAGGATAGGAAATTTTTAAGACATCTGAAGAGAGTGGTGCTATAGCGATCAAGAATCCATGACTTTTTATACCCCGAAATACTAAAGAGCTTTATTAGAAGAGAGGCACATCTCTATATTTTTTCTACCATAAATATCGTCAAACATGTCTATCCCTACAAAAAATGCAAACAAAATTATATTTTGTCGCTGACTGTTATGATAAATTTTGTCACTGACTTTTATGATAAATTTTGTCACTGACTGTTATGTTGGCATAAATATCGCCAAACATGATCGCCAAACATGTCTATCCCTACAAAAAATGAAAACAAAATTATATTTTGTCACTGACTGTTATGTTGGCATAAATATCGCCAAACATGTCTATCCCTACAAAAAATGCAAACAAAATTTTTTTTTTGTCACTGACTGTTATGATAAATTTTGTCACTGACTGTTATGTTGGCATAAATATCGCCAAACATGTCTATCCCTACAAAAAATACAAACAAAATTATATTTTGTCTTCGACTGTTATGATATTTGTCAATGTCTCAGAGGCCATAGTTCACGCTTAGAAACATTATCCGAAAGTGGAGTTATCCATTTTGCATTGAGATTGAACGTTCTCATTGTTCTGTATTTTTATTTAAAATGTCAGAACAGTGTAAGATTCCTGTATTTTAATCTACAGCTTAAGTTGAGGAACCTTAAGAACAGGTAAGCGAATAATCGCTTTAGTTCAGTAGATAGAGAACAGAAACTCGAGAAGGGTTAATTACCCTTTATTATTCCAAATAAAGTTTAACAGATGATTCCTTTCTTAAAGTTTGAAATAAAGCCTCCACTCGAGGTTGAACTCAGGAAACTAAGAACTAAAACTTAACGAATCTTATCTAAAATGTTATAGCCGAAGCTATCAAGATTCTAACGGAGTTGACCCCTTAACGCTAACTAACGGCGAAGCTATCAAGGGCCTAAAGTACGGCCGAGCGTACTTTAGGCCCTTGACTTTAGGCCCCGAGCGTGGTAATAGCTTAAGAGAGAGAGTAGCCTAAAAAAGGCGAACGCGCGCTAGTCAGAATCTCTGGCTCTCTAACGAAATCAGGAGAACTTCACAGTTAAATACATTTGCATTAAACGCGATTCTGAAAATACGTTCTGGCCAGAAGTTGTAAGCTGAAATTAAGGAAGATACCTTACAACCGTAATAAATATTAAGAATGAATGCGAATTTTAAGAATGCGTGGCGATAATATTTGTTGGCAACAGTTTGAAAAGTGAACCAACGCAGAAAGATGAAACGACGCAAAATGCAGTTTTTAGACTAATAGCCCTTTGGGTCTAACGCCCCTTTGGTATAGCCCCCCCCCAAAAAAAATTCGTCTTGTACTTAATAAATACTGTAAGTGAATAATATTTGAATGTACGGAAATAAGCTGTATGCATGAAGCAGAAAAACACAGCAAAAATTTTACATTACAAATTTTGTTGTATATATAATGAATGTATCTCTTTATGTCACCAGTCGGCTACGGAAAACACATTTTTCTTCAAAGGGGAACACATAAAAATTTTAATTTAGCACACTTTTCCCAAAAATGTGTCGCTACGCGAACAAAACATCGCAAACATTTCTAACTTATTTGATTCATTTCACAAACTGAGATTCTTGATCCGCAACCCTTCGTTCAAGAATTGTTTAATCACGTTAAGTTTCGTTTTTCCAAAACACCATGTATATAAGTGTTATTATTTATGTAACTCGATGTCTATTATCTTGCAAGATTTATTTAATTAAAGAGATATTTTATGCTAATTCTTTTTCTTTGTTCTCTTTTTATTCTTCCTCAACTTTCAGCACAATACATATTAAATTAAATTTCAACAAGGAGAAAATCAGTATTAATAAGCACAGATTGGCAATGCTAAGCGTACATTTTTACTTCCTTGTACGAAGTAAAAAGGAAGTATTGTAATCGCGAAAAGTTTCAGGCAGCATATTTCAACCAAAACTTTCATTTTTACCACTTTCGAATGCAATTTAACGATGATTTTGCGTGATATCTGTACGTAAGGACAGAATAAAAGACTCTTTTCCTCAAAAAAAAAAAAAAAAAAAAAAAAAAAAAAAAAAAATTATAAAACTGCTTTAAAATTAATTCTGAAGAGAATTTTTCGAGGCGTCTGTACGAACGTACGTATCTCGCATAACTCAAAAACGAGTAGCCTCAGAACGTTGAAATTTTGTATATAGCACTACTATAACATGTAGATGTGCATCTCGTATTTTGGTTGCAATCGGCCGGGCCAAAGGTATATAAATATGGTGCTATTCGGTTTCGAGGACCGTAAAAAATTGCCAAACTAATTGTTGATGCCAATGCTGCCAAAAATAATTGCGACAACCCTAAAAATTGCGGCAAGAAAGGAAGTATAATAGTAAATAACTATCTAAGATTGATGTTTTAATTTAGATGAAAGGTTAATTTCATATAATACTTTTTTATTACTATAATTTATATGAAAAAGGCTAAACATGACTGAATGGAAGCATAAGAGTAAATAACCATTTCAGATCATTATAATAATTTGCCCACCAGCGGCCGAGCGGTAAAGTCGCTGAACACTGGTAGTTCGCTCCGAGGTTCGAGTCTCGCGAACGGGCTGGCTACATGGGCATTTTCGTGGTTTTCCCCATGTGTAACGTGTATACGAGCCAGTTACCCTTAGAAAGTCCTCCACGAAGGCATCCCTTCTCTTAGGCAGATAGCCCTCGATGCTTTGCCATAATCACACACACACATTATAATAATTTATATAAAAATTGCTAAACATAACTGAATGGATGCTTGCATCGCTATTTCGCTACCGACTTATCGCTAAAGCATAATTTCATCTCGTTGGTTGTTCAAACATAATTTTCTATAATGAATGATGCCTTTCTTTGAAAAAAATTCTCGGTAAAGTGTAGAATCGCCCACTTATTTGTTTGCCGCTTTTTACAAGGGTAAAAACAATTGAATTTTTGTCAATTTTCTTTTACTTTTTAAGTGAAAATAGGTCGATGTGTACTGCGTCAAGGGTGTACGCAGTGCCATTTTTGTGCAATTCTAGGATTTTTTTAAGTGAAAACAGGTCGATGTGCACATGGATACCGAGTATGTGCAATTCTTAAAAACGCGTCAAGCAGTGGGTGATTATGCACTTTACACAAAATTCTATTGCCCACTTTTCGTCATGGGCAATTCCCAAATTGTTAAATCCATAGGATATAAAAAAAGGATTTAAAAATTAAACTAGTATTTCAATGACGTCTTAAGAAATATAGAACTATATAAACTTACGCAATCTGAAATCAACGCATACGCTAGATTTGGCGCGCTGTTAAATGGGCGCGTTTGCTAGATTTGGCGCACTGTTAAATGGGCGCGTTTGCTAGATTTGGCGCACTGTTAAATGGGCGCGTTTGCTAGATTTGGCGCGCTGTTACTGCAATTTTCTTACGGCCCTCAAAACGGAATAGTACCATAAATATATTTATATATATATCCACTCTGTTACCCGGCTCAGTGATCTCAGTTTCTTTACTCTTATATGTTTGTAAATTGTACATTTTTTGCTTTAAAAATGATTGAATTATGTTGTTCTTATCTTCCGGTTAAGGCTTTTATGCCTTTAGTAAATCTGTATGCAATATTTTTAGAATTATCAACAATTTTAAAGTTGTTTAAGTGCCGCTAAGCATAATAATTTTTTTGATGGCGGCCATTGCTTGTTAACATTTGAAACAGCAGAGTAGTGGATTTGTTGCCAATCTAGAGAAACGTAGCTTCGCAACAACAAAGATAACGCCTTCATTTATTACTACGAATTAAATCATGCTTAATCCTTTCTGAAATTTTTTCGAGGAAATAAGTGTTTAAGATTTACTTCGTAATTTTTAATACAGATATTTTGAGTTTTTATGTATTTTTGCCTTGTCGCGAAGTGAGAACTGAATTAATTGAATGAAAAATAGTCAATGGTCTGTGAAAAACTGTTTCATTTTTTGTTTTGTTTGCTTAATTTTTTTATACATCATTCTAGCTTTATTATAGTATTTGAATAGAACATGTGGCAACGATTAGATAATTCTTTAAATGATATAAATTTTGTGCATTCTTAGTTATAATATGAATGGGCTGCAACTGCAAGAACTCATCGCGAAAAAATACAAAGAATTCAAAACTAGTTCTAGCACAGCATGTGCACAAGTAGTTCCATATTATTCGATACAACTTATTCGATTCCTGAAGCATTTAAAAGCCAAGTATAATATATTGGTAAAGGCCGCTAATGGTCGATTTTCTCTTACTAAGTGATAAGAGATAGACATAGACATAGTTATAATATGAACGAAATATAATACTGTTAAGTGAACCTAGCGCCAGAGTGTCGCTATGGTAAACAAATAGAGTGAATTTTAAAGAATGCATTTGTTCTATTGTTGTTTATGCGCTGTCGGCGAAGTAGATTTAATTCAATCCAATAAGTTTAAACGAAATGCAAGAAAAAATGCGTATAATTTAGTATTCCGTACAAGGAAGTTATGTGGTGTACACATCAGATTTTGTTTTACTTCCTTGTCGCGAAAAATTTCGGGTATCATATTTCAAAGAAAATATACGTTTTCATCAACGAAATATCCATTTTCTAATCCATCTGAATGATGTTTTCTAGTAACATCTGTACGTACGGACGTAAAGGAATCTCTTTTTTTTCCAAAATGGATTTAAAATGGATTCAGAAGAGATAACTAAGCATTCTTGTTTCGTAATTGAGCACTGGTGAGTGATTTCATTTAATTCGTTCAGTTTAATGTTACACAGATTTTAATAATACCGAGGCCCATATGTTAACTCTTGATTATGCTGTTACAATTTAAATTCTTCGTGTAAATTCAAATCCAAATAGCGATAGGGAAATTTTCTTAACTGAGTTTTAAGTAAAATCTACAAATAATAGAAAATAAATCGTTAAATTAATTTTATCTCTGTGTTTCATAAGTTAAACTGTACTGATTATAGTTTGATTTCAGGAAATGAAGATTAGTGTAAAGAAGCCAATTAAACCAAATTTTAGAAGTTTTAAAAAGACTGGGTCGGATTTCTACGATTTCTGGTTTTCAAGGTTTCCGCTTTCTAAAATCACCAATGAAAAGGTAGTCTGGATGTAATTTCAAAAAGAAAAAGTATTAGCTACGTGATTTTTCACATAACACATCGACTGAAAGACAACCTCTCGAATGATAAAAAGTGCCCTCGAAAAGTTTGAGTTCATTTTTAGCACCCGAGATTTGAAATCAGAATGCTTCAAATAATTTTTGACCATTTTCTTCAGTGTGTTCAGGAGCGTTCGAATTAATAATCGTAATAATAAAAGCTTGATAATGATAGTAAAAAATAAGTAGGCGGAAGTAGTGTGTGAAAAAAGGCCGCAAGCCAAACGGTATGCAAGGTTTGGACTGAATGAGAAGATGATGATTGACAGAGACCCCGAATTCCGACGCTCTCATAAAGTTTGTTTTCGTCGTTTGGCCGCAGGTCGCGCGAGCCAATGGGGGAAGACAGAACGTGCCTTGACGTCACGATCTCGGCATCTTGGCATCCTCTATTCGTCCTTGACCTGCGAAATATGCCTCTCATGAAAGGAGGATAAAAAGTGAAAAAGCCTGAAAATTCCGTTCAGAACATTTATGATGCTGCAGCATTTCATCTTAATATTTCTTCCCTTTTCGCACTACTGATAGAGGAGAATTTTTTCTCCCTCTCTCTCATTCTCTTTCTTCGCTTACTTTCACTTTGGAACCGACCGTAGGAGGAGGAAGGGGGCGATAGCGACATCTTTGAAAAGGTCGCGGAATGGAATTTTTGTTTCCATAGTTATGCGGCTATTTTATTGGTCATTTCGGTTGGTCACCAACCCCACTATCTGCGACAGTCAACTGTCTGACCGTCAAAAAATTTCATTTATTTATTTATTTATTTATTTGTTTTTTTGCTTAAATATATTAAAAACCTCCCATGGCGAAAGAGATGAATTTTATCCTGGAAAATTTGCCCAAATATTCGATCTCATGAATGTTTCAGGCCAAATCCATATTTATTTTGAGCAACGGAAGAGAAAATGCTTTGGCAAAGATAACATTTATAGCAAAATTTGGAAGGCGCATTTCATTTACTACACACACACACGCACACAGAAGAAAAATGATTAATAATTATACTCATATGCATTTATCAGCTTCAGACACAAACTGCATGCCGGGCAAAGGCACGATCTGAAAGCAACTGACAGCTCACAGGCCTTTTCCTTTTTTTAAACTGCCGACAGGCCTTTTTCTTTTTTTTTTTTTAACAAAATAAAAATTTTTCTTCAAAAAATATAATTTAAACTCTTTTTAACAAAATAAAAAAAGAAATTCTGAAAGAAATTTAAAATTTCGCTTATTAAATTTTTATAAAAATAAATTAACATGATTAAGTTGTAGAGACATTAGGTATTTTTTTTAAGCAGAAGAGATGAAAAATGAGAAACGCTTTCGCTGGGAATCGAACCACGGAGCTCTGGAATACGTGCTGACCACTACACTACGAAGGCATGCTAAGAAATACCGTATAAAGTATAATAACGCAAAGGAAAAATTCAAATTTATATTTATTTTCTAACAGAAATCTAAAGGTTGGTATCTACAAGAAATTTCTTTCGGCCACATTTTTAATTCGTTCAAAAGCATGAACTTATATGCCATAAATTAGGTTGTCTTTAACTATAATAGTAATATGAAAAGCACAGCTGTGCAAGAGGCCGCATGTAAATCTGCCGGATCCGACGACGCAGCATAAACGTTTCTGGATCAAACGACCTGCTTTTATACAGAAATTAGTCAAAATTATCTCAAAATTAGAGGCATTAGGAATTGACCTGTGCAGGGTGAACTAATACTCGCCATGTCCAAGTTACACACAAAGTGATCATGCACAATACACTAAGCTTGATTTGTATAACTCAGTATCTGTATGCAAGCCAGTAATTGTGTAATTCAGTAAATGTACGTACGGCACGCAACAATTCAGAGTTTGATTATGTATCATGAATATTATTCTACTACGAATCAGTATCAGTAATTAATTGTATGCACACGGAGGAATCTAGTTGTACATTTCATTATGTACGTTTATCCATTATGAATCAGTATGTTTATCTGTTATGTTTATCAGTTATCATATGTATCATCTAAGTAAAGTATGACCTGTTCAGTGTGAACTAACTCACGCCATGTCTAAATTACCCACAAAATAATCACACAACACACTAAGCTTGTTGTTTCTCATGCCCGCGACCAGCAGAGCTCTACCCTGAGCCCATTCATCCTGAAAGAGTTCAGTAAAAAAGGAGGTCTTGAACCAGATCCTGTGTGGTAAGCCCGGACAAGATAAGATGTGATGAGGAGAAGCCTGTGCGGTAGAACACTTAGTGACTGCTCGACGATCGAGACAGCATGAGAAACAGTGGGTGAATTATTCATGGATGGGGTAAGGGGCAGCTTCTATGGTCAGAGACCTGGAGCACCGGCGGCAGAAGACTGACTCAGCTCTGCCGTCTATAGACTTTAGCTGGACATAATCGAGTGGCCTTCACGCCTTGGGTGGCCCTACCAGGAGAATACACTCCCGACTACTTCTGGACTTTACCCACTTCGTCCAGTGGCACTCCCTCTCCACGACGAGGCAATCTGTAGGTCTTGAGTGGGACACTAAGCTTGATTTGCAAAATTCAGTATTTAATGTAATTCAGAAATTGTTTAAGGCAATAACTGTATATATGGCACCGAACAATGCAGTAGTATGATTATATGTCATGTATGCTTTTGTATTATGGATCAGTATCAGTAATCGCATATATGGCACGGGGCAATTCAGTTGTATGATTATGTATCATGTATGTTTATCTATTATGAGTATGTTTATCTAATATGTGTATCAATTATCCTTCGTCTCATGAATGCAAGCAAGTATCAACAAAAAGTTTTATGTACGATTGCAACCAGCCCTTGGAAATATTCAACTTTTCTGTTTTAGAACGTTGTTCTGGACAGTTGCGGCATTCGGACAATACCCGTATAGTCTGTGTAAGCCGCCCAGGTATCCGGTTCCTGATATCAGTTATCCATTGTCGATTGTCAATTGTGTAACAGGCCATCCAGTTAGCGATTGACTCAAGAAAGCAGCTGGAAACTTCCGACTGGAAACATCAGAACACCAACTATCAACTGGCAACTAAACCAGAAACATCAGGATTCAGAAACTCACCAGAATACCAACTGTCATACCAACTGGCAAACTAAATTTACAGATTGTAGTGACATGACAAATTCTTCTAGCTGACACCATTCACGTAGCCTGCTATACAAGCATATTGTAACAAAGATAAATCCTCAACCTATTCATTCTAATTTTTCTCAATTCAAGAGCAGTCGTGTGCATAAGATAAAACCATATTTGTATGTCTATAAAACTATAAGCACGTATTTACAACAGATATATAATTAAAAAATGTTTGCGAGTTGTGTAAAATTGCTTTGGGGACTCCTGCTATAATGTATACAAAGAAAACTGCACTTTTTTTGTAAGTTACATTTCCTTAAAACAGAGATGCACAATCGTTGATAGGGTGTAAATGTGTATTGCAACTAAACAATTCTTCAAATAAAGCAGGTTTTCAGTGAAATTGGCCCAAATCCTTGTATGGCTTATGCCTTGGGTGGGCTCATTTCTGATAGTGTCTTGCTGGTGAAGCATTTTTTATGTTAGCATTCGAAAACTTCAGTTATTATTGTTTTTAATTATATCTATTATTGGGAATGGAAATTTTCATTGGAAATAAACAAAAATATTGCAGTATTTAAAATTAGGCCAAAAAAAGGAAATTTTTTGGAACAGATTTTTGATTTCTGTTGAATTCGAGAGCAATCAAAAACAGATCTGCTTTCTGGAGCCGCAAAAATGTTTTTTGCCAGTCCATAGAGTTTTATTAAAAATTATCTAGACAGTTTTTTTTTGAAAATCTTCACCAAACTACAATTGCATTTTTTAAGCCTAATTTAAAATTTTACAGTGACGCGCTTATCTTCAATTTGATTGTAGTACTTTTTTTTGTTAAGATTCATTATCATTTGTAGTTTTTTTTTTTTGGGGGTGGTAGAACTTTTTTTTTTTTTTTTTTTTTTTTTTTTTTTTTTTGTTAGCAGAAAAAGGTTAAATAGAACGTCTTTATCATTTATGCAATACAAGCTAAGGCAGATGGGGTACTTGAGGAAACGTGATTCAGTCATGAAGCATTGATCCAGAAAGATCTGAGAAATATTAGTCTAGACGATATTCGAAATAACTTTATATTGTTCTAACGTGTCTTTTATGAATGGCTCCTTAGGCACTATTACCTTTTTTTGTGTTCATACAAAGTTTTAAGCAATGTTGGCACATGCACATGCGGAATGCCTTGACAAAATAGGGATATATGCCATTTTAAATATGTAATTTATTTTAAACTTTCGTTTTTCGTTTTAAACTTTCGTTCTTGAAAGAAGATTTTGTTGTTTGACTTCTGAATTATAATCAAGTAAATTTCTGGCTACAGACATAGGAAATTACGAAAAAAATATCATATGCCTAACAGTAATTAACAGAGTAATATCTGGAAGCAAATAATTTATTGGAGCTGAAAGTGAATCATGAGTTTGATGAAGTTCTGGAAAATAATTTTTAAATATACTTTTTTTATGATATCGCAAAAAACAGAGCTATACTCTTATTTTGTTTCAGAATTATACTATATAATAAAGTCTATAACAATCCTGTATTCGCCTATCCAATATTCGATGATCCAATTTTCATGTATCTCATATTCAGAGAGGCATAAAAAAAGTACAGGAAATTTCGTAAGTTGAAATATTCGAAATTCACTTGGACTGGCAACAGTCTGCGACATAGTCGATATAACACAATGCCCATAAAAGTCTTTATTTTTAAATTTAAGAAACTAAACTTTGTGAAAATTACGAAAATTTAAACTTTTAAATGTGTCTTATGGCTCTCGTAGTTATATTGTATTTAGTAATATTTATACATAATATAAAAATAAAACAAAACGTTTGACTCTACAAATCAAATGTTGACGGAGAGATGTAATTTTAAAGTCTAAGGTCATTTTCAAGGCTCGTACGTAAACTGAAGAATAATGCATTTAAATTTGTATGTAATTAAAATTAAATATCAGTTTGGAAAATTTCTGATGTTACTGAATAAAGTGCTCAGCATTGCTACGCAGACTGTCGTAAAATGTTTTAATCATTATAAATTTTGCAAAAGGAATATTGTATTTATATAAATTTATAGAGCTAGTACTAAAGTATTGGCACATAGCAATTCGCTAAATTACAACTTATATTATTGTATATGCAATATATAGATATAATATATATTGCAAAACTTTAAAATGAAGAATATTTAGAGTTCTATAACTTTTTTTATATGATTATTAAATTATGATCACAAAGCAACAAAACTGGGAGTTAATATTATTGATTCATACTGAGCATTTAAAAACCGTTTAAATTGCTATGCGAAAATACTTTCAACATAAACATTTCCAACAAAATTATAAATTAAAAGAATGTGCATACTTGTAAATCACAAAGGAATGCCACTGAATAATATTAAAATAAAATAAAAAAATCTGATGTGTACACCACATGACTTCCTTATGTACGGAACATTAAATTATACGCATTTTTTCTTGCATTTCATTTAAACTTATTGGATTGAATTAAATCTACTTCGCCGACAGCGCATAAACCACAATAGAATAAATGCATTCTTTAAAATTCACTCTAGTATTTGTTTACCATAGCGACACTCTGGCGCTAGATTCACTTAACAGTATTATATTTCGTTCATATTATAGCTCATAAGGCACAAAATTGATATCATTTAAAGAATAGAAATATGTAATCGTTGCCACATGCTCTATTCAAATACTATAATAAAGCTAGAATGATGTATAAAAGAAATTAAGCAAACAAAACAAAAAAGAAATAGTTTTCACAGACGATTGAGTATTTCTCATTTTATTAATTCAGTTCTCACTTCGCGAGAAGGCAAAAATACATACGAGTAAAAACTCAAAATATCTTTATTAAAAATTACGAAGTAAATCTCAAACACTTATTTCCTCGAAAAAATTCCAGAAAGGATTAAGCATGATTTAATTGGCAATAATAAATGAAGGCGTTATCTTTGTTATTGCGAAGCTAAATTTCTCTAAATTGGCAACAAATCCACTAGTGTGCTGTTTCAAATGTAAACAATCAATGGCCACCGTCAGAAAAAAGACTTAGCGGCACGTAAACAACTTTAAAATTGTTGATAATTCTAAAAACATTGCACACATATTTACTAAAAACATAAAAACCTTAACCGAAAGATAAAAACAACATAATTAAATCATTTTTAAAGCAAACAATGTACAATTTACAAACATATAAGAGTAAAGACAACTGAGATCACTGAGCCGGGTAACAGAGTGGATATATATATAAATATATTTATATACGTTTGGTGCGGCCGACTGCAACCAAAATACAAGGTGCACATCTACATGTTATAGCAGTCCTCTATACACAATTTCAACGTTCTGAGGCTACTCGTTTTTGAGTTATGCGAGATACGTACGTACGTACGTAAGCACATATGTACATACGTTCGTACAGACACCACGAAAAATTCTTTTCAGAATTAATTTTAAAGCAGTTTTATAATTTTTTTGGAGGAAATGAGTCTTTTATTCTGTCCTTACGTACCGATATCACGCAAAAACATCGTTAAATTGCATTCGATAGCGATAAAAATGGATATTTTCGTTGAAATATGCTGCCTGAAACTTTTCGCGATTACAATACTTCCTTTTTACTTCGTACAAGGAAGTAAAAAAAAACAATAAAGGAAAAAAATCTGAAGGGTTTCAGATTTTAAATTACGTCCGAAGGGGCGTTTTTCTAACATTTTGTGCGTTACCTTTATTTCTTAAATATCATGTTATTTGCACTTAAACCATAAAATTCAATTCAACAGCAATATCGCAAAATAATTTTAAAATGAGAAAATCTTTAGAATTTCCTATACAGAGCATCGCGCGCTGGAGATAAAATTTTGTTTTTTTTCTCTTACAGTTTTGCCATTGCTCGCTTTGAAATCGTCGAGTTTGTTAATCAAAAATTCATTAAAGTTTTACAAAATATGAAATCGATCATAAAACAAATTCCAAATTTCAAATTTGGGCTTTCAAATCCTAATATTTGCAGTAGGATTACGTTATTCAAAATTGGATGGCTCTAGGTACCGTTGTTTTATCACAATGCGAGAAATATACATACATTTAAGCAGATTCTCATTATCTAATTTCTTTCAATATAATACAGAGCGATAATATTTGGTGACAACAATTTGAAAAGGGAAACAACGCTTAGCGTGAATCGACGCAAAATGCCAAAACGAAATTAATAGTCCTTTTGTGCAAACTGCGCCTTTGGACTAAAAAAGCAACTTCGAATTATTCTAATTTAAATTTTTTAACCGACTTCTCAAGAAAAGCCGGTAAAGATGTTAAGAAGAATAAATTTTGAAATTATATACCGTGGTGAATTATTTTCGCATAAGAGTCAAACTTTCTAAGTTTTATTTTTTATAGAAAGTATATATTTTACTATATTTAATATAAAGTAAAGTAAAAAGAACAAACGAAAAAAGACTATGTGGTCTCATGCGCATTGTGCTGCAAAATTTAGAAAGAGGTAAAAAAGAAAAATTTTAGTTCGTACGCTAAAAAGCCGCTGAAATACTGTGATTCCATGAAAACATTAAAGCAAAATTTGATTATTTACAAGTAAAAATCAGTATTGAATTTTACTTATAAATAATCATATGCTGTATATTTTTACTTCCTTGTACGAAGTAAAAAGGAAGTATTGTAATTGTCTGAAGAGAATTTTTCGTGGCGTCTGTACGAACGTATGTATGTACGTACGTATTTCGCATAACTCAAAAACGAGTAGCCTCAGAACGTTGAAATTTTGTATAGAGGACTGCTATAACATGTAGATGTGCACCTCGTATTTTGGTTGCAATCGGCCCCACCAAACGTATATAAATATATTTATATATATACCCACTCTGTTACTTCGTACAGTGATCTTAGTTTCTTTACTCTTATATGTTTGTAAATTGTACATTGTTTGCTTTAAAAATGATTTAATTATGTTGTTTTTATCTTTCGGTTAAGGTTTTTATGCCTTTAGTAAATCTGTGTGCAATGTTTTTAGAATTATCAACAATTTTAAAGTTGTTTAAGTGCCGCTAAGCCTTTTTTCTGACGGTGGCCATTGATTGTTTACATTTGAAACAGCACACTAGTGGATTTGTTGCCAATCTAGAGAAACTTAGTTTCGCAACAACAAAGATAACACCTTCATTTATTATTGCCAATTAAATCATGCTTAATCCTTTCTGGAATGTTTTCGAGGAAATAAGTGTTTAAGATTTATAATTTTTAATATAGATATTTTGAGTTTTTATGTATTTTTGCCTTCTCGCGAAGTGAGAACTGAATTAATTGAATGAGAAATACTCAATCGTCTGTGAAAAACTGTTTCTTTTTTTTTGTTTTAATTGCTTAATTTCTTTTATACATCATTCTAGCTTTATTATAGTATTTGAATACAACATGTGGCAACGATTAGATAATTCTGTTCTTTAAATGTTATAAATTTTGTGCTTTCTGAGTTATAATATGAACGAAATATAATACTGTTAAGTGAATCTAGCGCCGGAGTGTGGCTATGGTAAACAAATACTAGAGTGATTTTTAAAGAAGCATTTATTCTATTGTGGTTTATGCGCTGTCGGCGAAGTAGATTTAATTCAATCCAATAAGTTTAAATGAAATGCAAGAAAAAATGCGTATAATTTAATATTCCGTACAAGGAAGTCGTGTGGTGTACACATCAGATTTTTTTATCTTGTAACACATTTTATTGCAACTTATTTTGCTTATGTTAATGTTTTCACGGAACCATAGTATTTCAGCGGCTTTTTAGCGTAGAAACTAGGATTTGTTTTTTACCTTTTACTAAATTTAAGTATAGGAACCCCTGTATAGTACAAAAAGATATATTTCTTTATTAACCAATTTTTTTATACATTTCAAACACCAAAACATTAATATCTGCATCATTTAAAACATTTTTATAACTGGAAGCACAATAATCATACGATTAACCAGGGTAATAGAGTGGATATGTTCCCAATTTAGCCGAAATCACGATTAATTCAATAGTTGTTAAAAATCCCAGGAAAGAGGTATAAATTATAATTAACAGAAAAATACTATTAATAATATACCAACATTTTAAAACAGTTTAATTAGGAGAATAAATTAACTTCGTCATAATTAAATTCGCATTCGAAATAAAATCACACTTCAGAACAGAAAGAAATTATTTAGATGTCTGCCGTGTATAAAATATATGGCAGAAATCTGAAGGTAGCAATTTATGTTTATATTATCCATTGAGGAATGGTTGGTAAAGAAAAATGCAAAAATGATGATCCTTTTGCATAGTAATCTTAAACAAGAAATGGCCCTTTAGGGCATTTAATTTTACACATGCTTTTAATTTATTATAGACTAGTCTAAATAGTATTAAATATTTAATTGAATTTTTTAAATCATTCAAATATAACATAACATTATCCATGAACTCAAAATGCTATAGAAAAGAAACTAAAGTAAAATGATCTTGATCTCCTTTAGGCCTATGTCTATGAAAGAACTGAAAGAGTAGAAGCTAAACTCAAGCTTTTCTCTACATGACCCCTCGTAGTTGCCAAATAGTTCACAAGCTCAGAGAAAACTTTTCCGATCGAAATAAAAGTCATTGACCGAAGACTATCAATCCACTTTTCTTCTTCTGAAGATTTTGATTCTGCTTTAAATCTGATTTCATACTTTATCATCAGAATGTAGCATAGCACCAAGTAATCCATGACAATTACATTAAATTACAATTGCATAATACGCTTCAAATAATATTGTATATTATAATATAATTAAAACATTTGAAGATTACTAATAGATGTTACACAAGGATGTTAGTTGTCAGTTACAGTATAATTGTACACGGGTAAAAATTATATAAAATATTCATAATCTAACTAAGAACAAAATTTGCAATGGAAATATCCGACTTCAGTTTGCTTTTCAAATTTTAGCTTTTATGCAGGAATACACATTTCACACATTCGTGGATACCATGAGAAAAAACACGAATCTGCATTTTGCTGATTGATGAAATGCATGTTCTGCTTTACAATATTTTACTGAAAGATAGAAAAATATAAAAGAGATGTATGTTCTTTGAGATGAATTCTGAAGTATTAATGTGTAAAAAAACTGATGCTAGTTTTTACAAAGGAGTAAAGGTTTCGCGCTTGTGAATTAATTTTCCTTCGAACCAGCGATTTCGAAAATGCGTAGTTTCGGCGTATTGTATACGATATATTGTCTTAAAGCTAAGTATTAATAGTTACGTTCTATGGAATACCTCTATATAAGTTTTGTTAATCCAGTAAAATGTATTATTTATTATTTTAGTTTTAAATTTTATTTTTAATTATATGCTCGGTAAAATTAAGTGCAAATTATTCTAATTATTATTATTAAAAAAGCTGATAGAGGTTAAACTTTTTTTTTAACCAATTCGCATGTTTGACACTGCAAGAGTGAAACACATTATTAGGTTTACTTCCGAGATGACAAACATGATAAATTTAGTTGTGCGTCGCCAGGAATCGAACTCGGGATCTTCCGATTGGCAGCCGGACTTGCTACCAGTTGCACAATAAGAACAAACAGCAGGGAAGACGAAAATTCCCATTATTCTCCCTCACTTAAACAGCGACCAGGCAGATGGAAACAAGACCTACTTCATCAATTTCAGGTGGTTACGAATTACCATCCATTACATTTTAATTCAGCGCTACTGTAGAGCTATTAAGTTTTCGGAGTCGGAGATGAAAGAAATCAGCTAGGTCCTCGCCTGGATTCGAAGTCTTGATCTTCCAATAACCAGGAGTGCTGCTAGTTACAATCGGACTTTACCTCTTATTTTCGAGCGTGTGCTGAAATTTTTCTTAACTAGAATTATAGTTAGAGTTATCAGTGTTCAGTACAGCTCCCTTGTAATTCAATACACTTAATACGAACGCAGGCTTGTATCTTTAACTTCATTCCGTTCAACTCGTTACGAATGATCTAACGAGTTTATTCAAAATCATTGCCTAATAGTGTTGCTTTCTCTTTACCTGCAGTGGCAGAGGACATCAAAGATAATTGTTATCTCCTTAACTGTGCCATGCGAATTTTCCATATAACGATTTTGAAGGCCCCAGTATAATTTCTTCCATCACTGCTGAACTTGGCAACGTGGATTTTTCATACTAGTTAACCAATACTTGGGCTTCTCAGTACGTTAATACGTTTACGTACACTTTCAAATACATTTTCCTTCTTCATTGGCTAGACAAGCCAGGGTGGGCCCTGCCTTCCTCCAGAAATCTTCGCCAGGTACCTCTGCTTTTGAGTCTTTTACCTTTAAAATGTTTAGATCATTTTCAACACAACCGATCCATCTCACTGGGGGCCTACCATCAGGTTTGGTTTCTATGGCCTTTGCTAGCAAGGTTTTCTTACAACGCCGATCTTCGTGCATTCTGGTTAGATTACCAGCCCATTTCAATGTCTGTAATTTGAAAACTTTTACTACATCAGGCTGCCTATAGATCTCATACAGCTCTAAATTAGATCTTTTTCTCCAAGATCCATTCACCCGGACCCCACCAAATATGCAGAGCAAAATCCTTCTCTCAAAATTCCACAAAGCTTCTTCATTATGTAAAGTCAGCGCCCAAGCTTCTGACGCACAAATCAGGACAGATCTTATAAAAGTCTTGTAAAGAAGTAATTTAGTTGTTAACTTGAGAAAGCTGGATTTTAAATAGCTCTTCAGGCTATGGAAACATCGATTTGCAGCAGAGATTCGTTTAAGTATTTCAAAAGTTATCATCTAATTTTTACAATTCACCTCTGTCCCAGATAAGTGAAACTGTATACTTTTTCAGATCTATAGTTACTAATTTCTAAATGACAAAGTGGTAAGTCAGATATTAAACAAGGCATACGTTTTTGCACTTTTCCAATGCCATGATTTAAAATACCTTCTCCACATCAAATTCTTCTCCGAAGATGAAACTCAGTAGCCTTAACATCTTCGCCTAACCCTTTCCGGCACCCTACCTTTTAAAGTCGGAGTTTTGATAAAAAAAATGGGTGGCAGTCTAGTTAGGCCTAGAGGAGTACACAAGTAAAATTTTGTGAAGATAGCACTTATCGTTTTAATTTTGTGGGTGTGCCCAAAGTGGCACACTGATTGAATAGAGCTTCGAAAAGAGTGCTGAAACGAGCATTGTTTTCAATGAACTGACCGATGAGATGCGGAGAAACAAAGAATACAGACTCAGTTGTCCTAGATGATCGGTGAGCCTGCTTTGGGTACACCTAGGGTTCCCCGTTTGATTTTAGACAAAATTTCAAGGTAAAAATTTAAAACTAATATAAAATAAGGAGATTAGCATACAGCCAAAAAAATAACATAGAAATTTCTTTTCAAACCATTCTTTTTATGCCCTAAAAAAATCTGGAACATTTCTTTGAAAAAGGAGGTTCTTAAAAAAACTAAACATGGCTAAAATATATGGACTGGTTTGTGTTGAGCGGCCATCTACTATAAATAAAGAAAGTTCAGAGTAACCTATAAATCTTTTTTCATTCAATTTTTCCTTGCGTACAGAAGGAAATTTTTAGGTATATCCAGACCGGACACACTGTGCTGCAAAGGGTTAAAAAATGAACAAGATTTCATTAATCTTTGGTGCATTGCTGCTAAGGCACCCCCCTATCTTGTCGAACTATTTCTCAAGTTTCTATACGTACCACCAGGTGTGCCAAAGTTTCTCCTAACAAATACTTATAGACTTCTTATCGGAAGGGCCACCGCGGCCAGCTAAGATGAGACGAACTAATGACACTCTTCGAATTAATAACTTATATATTAATTAATAGCTTACAAAATTCCCTGATTAATTAAATGGCTTGTAAAAACCAGTATTTCTTTAATTACCTATCCTCATATAAATAACAAAATAATGTGAAGCGTCAATATTTTCCATCACATGTTGTTCATGGCTCTTTTTTCATCAGCGAAATTTTCGCTTTAAATGCAGTAGGCTGTATTAATTCATCTCAGTATAATATTGAAGAGCATTCTATCGTAGTCGAAAATATTAAGGCTTAAAATCATAATTCCTAACCTTATAGCACTTCGTTGTAACAGCAATTAAATAAATGAAAAATGGCAGAAAGATGGGCTTTGAGTTATTTAGGATATCTACAACGTATGGTAGTCCTCGCGCAAACTAAGCAAGACTAAGGTGGACAAATTGTCCAACATTTCTTTTTTACAAATATTCGGAATTACTTCGACTCTCGGAGGCTTCAATTAAAGCTATTAATTACAGGCAAGTGCTTAATTATATTGGACGCTTTATTGCAAACTATTTTTTTTTTCTTCGCCTTTCATCAGTACCGTTTGAGAGTGGCCAGTTGCTCATAGCAACGGCATTTTAAGGAATGCGAAGACGGATTTTGGTTTGAGATGAAATTTAAGAAGAAATGTTTTCAAGACATTCTCTTTGTCATTATCTAAAAGAAAAGAATCAAAGAAACATTTTCTAATGTTCAGATTTTCGAGAAGATAATCTTTTGTGTAATATACAGTGCTTCCTTTTCCCAACTCTTTCCTGGGACGAGAACTAAACCCGCATCATTATTTTATCACATTATATTAAAAATAAAATTTAAATGAAAGAATAAGCTACATGTACAAAGTAGTCAAAGAATAACGTACACATGGTATCTGGCACTGCTGTTCAGAAACCATTTAATCCTTTCCTTCAACAGATTACGTAAAAAAGTAAAAAGCAAAGTGGAAAATACAAAATACAACATGGTATGAATAGTTAATACCAGAAGCTAAAAAATCTTAAACTTTCTCTCCGTATGTTAAGAGTTTCTTAGATTTTCAAAAAACAATAATGACAAGATAAAAGGAAAAATGCTTTATTTAAAATTTTTAAACAGCAATATGTTTCCAGCCGAAGACAACATTTGCAATATAGGTTGTAGAGACAATTAGGTATTTTTTTGAAGCAGGCAAGGTGAAAAATTAGCGACGCTTTTGCCGGGAATCGAACCGCGGACCTCTGGAATACAAGCTCAGTGTGCAGACCACCACACCACAAAGGCACGTCAAGAAGGAGGGAGAAATACCTTATATACTCCCCGTTTTAAAGGGCGACTGAGGTTTTTAGGGGACCCAATCGCCAAATCCTGCGTGGGACAAAATCAATATCCACCACCCTTTTAGTTCGGGAGGCATTGCAGAGACATTAGGTATTTTTTGAAGCAGGCAAGATGAAAAGTTAGCAACGCCTTCGCCGGAAATCGAACCTCGGGCCTTTGGAATACCGGCCCAGTGTGCAGACCACCACACCACGAAGGCCCGCCAAGAAGGTGGGAGAAATACCTTGAGAACGTTGCAGAGCAACTTTACAAATACAGTTTTAAACATTACGACTACTCTGTTTATTAAGAACATTCAAATGATATTTGATCAATATAATATAACCCTTGAATTTTGAGGTCCTAATTTCCAGTACTGTTGGGAACAAAAGGTTTCGGTTTGGTTTAGTTTAGTTTGCTATGGCAAAGCACATTAGGACTATCATTTAAGGGAAGAGGTGCCCTCGCGGAGTACTTTCTAAGCGAAAGTAGCTGGTATACACGTTACACATGGGGAAGACCACGAAAACGCCTTTGCAGCCAGCCCGCTCGCTTAGATGCGAACCCAAGTCGGAACTGAAAGTGTTCAACGATTTTACCGCTCAGCAGCTGATGGGCCTTGGAAGAAAAAGAGCAACAGTTCAAATTTTCTTTAAAATGTTTTTTAGAATTTTTTTAAGCAAATGTAAATAAGCATAGATTATTAGATAGTGTAAAATTGCAAGTCAGGCAAAAAAGCAGTTTTTAGTTTGTAGTAGATTTTTGAGTAAAAACAATTAGATTTCTACAGCATTTAGTTACAAGTCCCTCTTCTTCAGAAGAGAATTTTATTTTTTCGTTTTGAATGTTTGATTTCTATGGCACTAAAACCTTTTAGGTTGCATTAAATTAGTGCCAGTTTTCTTTTAAATAAAATTAATTTAATTACTAACTGAAATCCAAGAGTTAGTATATAATTTTACGTCAAACGGCTAAACTTGTGTTAAGAAAACTTAATTAAACAATGCACCTGCTACGAGTACGCTTCGTGAAAGTTTGGCCCAAATTTCAAAAGACAAGAAAGATGTTGTGACGTGAAACCAGACATCTTGATTTCGGGCTCATTACTTCTGTTTTCTAACGGGTAAATCCTGAGCTACATCTCACTAGTCAAGAAGAAGAACAGACGAGATTGGCATGTTGTTGCTGTTGAATTCACGGCATCTGTGTAGACGAGTTTTTTTTTATGTCATCTGTTTTAATGTTCTTTTGTTTTGGCAGGCCTTCTATCCCTACATATCAAGGCACAGACAGAAGCTACCTATACAAGACTAGTTCATCTGCGACGGGACGCCACCTTTGGATGGCAGGACTCTCAGTCCCATCAATTTTGAACATCTCGGCAATGTCCTTCACACATCTCCCGCCCTCAAAGGCAAGGGTGTTCATGTAACTAAAAATTCTCTTTAGTTCAGCTTATTATAGTTTACTGAGAATTTATTCCCTAAAAACAGTAATGATTTAGTCTATTTGTAGAGCGGGTCTGTTTCGGGGTATTATCATTTGGGGTTAGCAATCAAATTTGTATAGCCTTTCCTAACTAACGCAACCAGATCCTAACTAATGCAACTAACGCAACCAGATCCCAGCTGAAGAGCCTCCATATTAATCTGGAAGTGGGTTGACTAGTCAAAATTACCTCGGAGAGAGGATAAAGCAAATTCTTTTATACTGCACAATAGGGGCTTCAATCCCGAAATACAGACTTGTACAAGACTGAACTATCTCAATGACTCCCATCTGTGACCAGGCTGACCAGGCGTCTGTAAAACTTTGGGTGCTGGAGACAGCGAACGTGAAGAGGTAACAATGACTACGATACCATACATGTTCGTGGTCATCATGCTATGTACTCGAATGGCCGAAGCTGCTACCATCCGGGAAACACAGGTAGCTCTTTCAAGTTCGTATTATTGTGCCCAAGAATCGCTACTGTCGCACTTAGCTAGTGTATGCAACCCTAGGGTATAAAATCTCGCATTTCCGTCGAACCAGAAAGAACTCGGGGTAAGACCGGATACATGAGGGGGCAAGACTAGGGAGTACCAGGTCTTTACCCCATCATCTTCTGTATGGCTGCAGAAATTTTCTTGTGCTGATTTCGAAAGTTTAGACAGTTCTCTAAGCTATCTGTTGAAAACCAGTCCTTTTGGTTTTAGGTGAACATACCACCTATACTAAGAGCCTCAATATGATGAACATGACATAGGAAAACTTTTTTATTGCTGTTTGGCTTGACGCTGCGTTCTTACGGGATGGTAGCCGTTAAATGGA